GAGAGAGAGAGAGAGAGAGAGAGAGAGAGAGAGAGAGAGAGAGAGAGAGAGAGAGAGAGAGAGAGCATTGGTCTGGTAATGTTTCTCAGATCTTTGTCTCCTGTCATCCCTCTTTGACCACTGCATGAGCCTGCATCCTTATAGGTGATATGTGCATTCTTTGATTGCCTCGTCAGTTTAGTTCTTAGTGCTTCATACACGGTTTGGAATACTGGATGCTCCCGTCTTAGCCGTATTTGCATCTCTGTTCTTTGTGAGAAGTGGGAATGGGTCATCATATCTTCCTCCATGCCACTTCAGGTCACATGGTCACCTTGTGCTTGCACCATCCCTCCATGTGATTCTATGCTTTGGATTCTTCCATCCCTGTTTGCCCTGCCATGATGTCCTCTCTCTCTCTTTCTTACAATGGAGTTATGAATCTATGATTCCAATTTTGATTTGTTATATATGTATCATGGTGTATTTGGAACTGTTGCTATGTTCTTTGAACAAGCTAATTTTGTTGTGCTCCATGTCTGGCATACCCATTGTATCTTTCCCTGTTTTTTTTTCTTTTTCTTTTTCTTTTTCTTTTTTTGTGGGCCAATGTGGTTTCTGTCTGTCTGCTTGCTCGCTTGGCGCTTGACATGTGCGCTCCTTCGAATCCTTTGGTTGTCTGTAAAGCATACATTACAGAAGACCGTTGTCCGATCATCGTCTCGTCAGAGGGGTCCATCTGCCAGGAAGTCTGCCAACCTACTCTAGTCTTGCCTTGGTACCCCTCTCCAGGTCAGTAGTGAAAGGCCCCACATGAATGGCTTAGTACCTTGTCGTCTTTTCTCATCTTCATCATCATCATCATCATCATCCTCCTCGTCGTCTCCATTTAGACTTATTCCAACCAACCTCATCGACGCCATTCCCATTTCCATCCACGTACTCTCGTACTTATCAGAGCCAGATGTCACACGCTGCTAATTTCATGCCCTTTTTCTCCCATTTCCAGTGCTCATCTCCCCGCGCTTTTTCTCTATTATGCAGTGGTCACTTCATGCGCTTTTTCTCCAAGTACACAGGCAGACTCTGGGACAAGCTGTCGAACAAGCTCGGAGCCTGAGATACAGTGTGTAGTACTGTGTACCTCAACATTTATCACCTGTTGGGTAGAAAAATGAACCCTGGAAGAGTGATGTTGGGGGGTGGGTGGGGTGTCAAGGGTACAGGTACAAGGGAGTGCCGGATGCAATATGTATTTCAAAAATTTTCAATGTTTTTTTTTTTTTTTTTTTTTTTGCCACTTTTTTTTTTCTCACATAATACGACGCATATGTTATTGCCTAATATACTAAATATAGGCCAAAAGGTGCAACTGTAGAGATGAAAATTCCTGGAGTCAGTGGAGTGCTTAAAAAGCCTTGAATTACGTTGGAACTTAGGACTTAAACCACTAGTACCTTTTCGGTTCCGTTTCGGCAAGTTTTAGCCTATTCCCAAACTTTTAGTAGGCCGGGCCCGACAACGGCTGCCGTTGATAAATCTGACGGCAGCCATCGTTTCGTTTCGGCCTCCTGAAAGGTCGGAGGCCCACTATTTTCCGAACCAACAAAGGTACTCGTGGTTTAAAAGGGGTAATTTGCAAAATACCCCCATAAGTTGAGATATATGCCAAAATGTCCCTAAAAGATGTGGGTAGAGCGAAATGCCCCTCTGACAAAGAAAAAAAAAAAAGACACTTTGTAAAATACCCCTGGCACCGGTTGGACCTCCATCTTTGCAATATACCCCTACCTGGTACCGTCCAACTTTGCAAAATGCCCCAGTACTGCCAACTTTTCCTAGTTCGCTATTGCAAAAGGCCAAGGCCCAAACACGAGGAGGTCCAGATTGCAAAGTTGCACACCTACTTGACAGGGGCACAACACAAAGATTTCGGCCCAAAAGGGCAATCCGCTCTACCTACATCTTTCAGGGGCATTTTGGCATACATGATATATCTCAACTTCTTGGGGTATTTTGCAAATTATCCCAACTTAAAATTGTTAAATACAACAAATAGTCTTAAGGACACAAAATACCCATATCTCTCGTCCCCCTTTTCTTTTTTAAAACCCATGTCCAGGGGTCAGTCAGTGGTAGCATATTAAATGTCCAAATATTCCAACAATGTCAACATTGCATCGGTACCTTTTTCTGTGGTTGTCCCACCTGGTACTTCTCCAAGTTTACCAATTTAATACATGGGTTTAGTATCCTTGTACCACTTTTCATGAAAAGTGGGTTTAGTACCCTTACTATATGGGTTTAGTACCCTTGCTACATGGGCTTAGTACCCTTACTACATGGGTTTAGTACCCTTACTACATGGGTTT